AAATTTGTTTTTTTAGACATAAAACAGCAACCATTTTATCATGCTCCCAAATTCCATGAGTCATAGATTCAGATAGGACACATCAGAAATGGCTTGTCTCTGCGCCATACACTAGGGCGTCAGCTGAAAAGACTGTCTTTTGCAGATACCATATCTCCCACACATTGCCTAAATGAGGGCCAGTGAAAGGCAGGGAGTAAAGATGAAAGTAGGTCCTCACTCTTTGCTTCCTAGAAATACATTATTTTTCAGTACCACACATAAAAGTTTAAGTACACATTAAAGAATAATAACTACTTCCAGCAGAAGAAAGTCTTCTTGTTTTAATGCAGACATTGAAATGTTCTTTGAGGATATCTAGTGAGCTATTTTTAATATTTAAACTATAACTTGAGCTGTAAGAAACTGATGTTATGTTGAATTTGCATATTATACTTAAGCTTAGCAGGATGTCAAACAACAGGCACAGAACAGATTTTAAAAGCCTGTCTGACAACCTCACCAAGTTGGAAAACAGAAGCAACCTTGATCAGAAGTGAGCATAGATAATTCACTATGGAGACTTTTATATATGAAAGCATTAGTCTCTTGCTATTATATAACAGAGGCATCCAACCCATACATCTTAATTTGTGAACTTTAGTTGGATACCTCCCAACCATCTCACACAACCGTGACAGAGTTGATGTTGTAACTCTAAATGACTAACAAAGTCAATTTGCTTTCTTAAGTGGCTATATTTGTACCAAGATGTTGAAATGATGTTGAGTTCAATTATGACAAGTTTTATGTTCAAACACATTTTGAGATGTAAAAGGGGAGTAACACATGAGGGATTCTTTAAAACACTGACTGAATGAGTTTAAATTCTAAATTTCCAAATCAGGTACACTGATTGGAAAATGGAATGCAGTTTAATTACCTCGCTCTACTAGAATATGTGAAGTGTGCATCCAGCACAAAAACACCTTCAGAAACAAGTCAGTGAGGTTTGATATTGTACAATCCATGACTTGGTCTTAGGTAACAACATAAAGTTATCTAGTCAAGCTATTTGTAAATGCATAAGCATCACTAACTTAAATGTGTTAATTTAGGTTTATTATGAAATTAGAATTTACTGTTTCATTGGGAAAGACTAAATTTTAGAAGGTGGGATGTCAAATACATAACTAGTATTTGTGGTGGGGATAATACATCCCCGGAAATTTCTAAATCGGCTCTTAATGAGATGTATCCTGGGAACTTTTGCCTTCACCAAGAATAAGACAGTCCAACACAGGGCCTGACAGTACGAAGCTTGATACCACAATATATTGCCAAACAGCATTGGAAAACAAAGGTTAACAGGTCATTCATTATGTAATGGGTATCATGAGTAAGACCCACTTTCAGTATTTTGCAATAACTGCAGTGTACATGGAATGCCTGTGAATACAGACTACGTTGAAAGCAATACTGAAATAAAATGTGCTGAAGGGGTAGAAGAGATTGATTCTGAGAGGAGAATTGAACAGGGCATGGAAGGATGGGACAGGGGCAGGAGAGATTCCAAGCAAAGGCCAGAGGGGACATAATTCAGGGAAAGTTCAGAAAAATGGTGAGTGGTGGACACACAGTCTGAGACTGAAGTACGTGGGAGAAACGTAGACAATAAGGCTGAAAAGAGAGGTGGGGGTTGGACTGACTTTAGAATCTTTTCTGGAGAAGGTGCTGCAAATATTCCAGCAGAGTAGTAATAATAAGATTTAGGGGGGAAATTCTGAGGGGAGATAATAGGAAGAGTATTGCAAAAGCTCCAGTAGAAGAGAACACAAGACCAAAGCAGGTGGTGCCAAGGGGGAGGGGGAGCATATCAGGAGAGTTCAAAGGTAGACTCAGCGGAAACTGATTAGGGCAATGAGGGAGGGAAAGAGTCCAACCGGTTTTGTGGTTTTGAGTGTGAAAGGCTATGTGGAGGTTTTGAAAATAACCACAAATTCCTTGACACTCCCATCCTTTGAGAGTTGAAATTCAATTCCTTTCCCCTTGAATCTGAAATTGGACTTCATGACTCACTTGTAACCAAGAGAATGTGGAGGAAGTGAAACCACACACAACAGGCTGGGTTGGAAGACACCATGCTTGTGCTGCCTTGTGCCACGGAATTCACGTCCTGAGCTACCCGTAGGCACTGCAGCCTACAGTTCAAGCTGAGCCCCGCCTGAGTCACCTCGACAGCTACACACAGACATGTGAGTGAAAAACCTGCAGATGATTCCTGGATGTATTGTAAGAACAAGAGACACATGGAAGGAAAAATGATAAAGAAACATTACTTGGCTTTCAAGTCTTGCACTCTTTAGTGTACAGAAGTACTTATTTTAAATACTCAGCTGACTAGGTGGGTAAGCAAAGTAGAGTGATGGATGGAAAGTAATGGTTAGAAATTTGCTCCAGAACATTTACATTTCTCCCCCTTGTCCACCCCTTTTTATCACTAATATGCATGCATAAGAGAGCAAGAGTTAGGTGTTCAAGCTGTTCAGAGGTGCACTCTGCTCTTCTAGTAGATTCAGAATAGCCATCAATAAGAACTTGTATTGTTTTGTTTTGTTTTTGACACAGAGTCTCACTATGTCGCTCTCAGTACAGTGCCCTGGCACCACAGCTCACAGCAACCTCAAACTCTTTGGAGCTTAAGCAATTCTCTTGCCTCAGCCTCCCAAGTAGCTGGGACTACAGGCACCCAATCACAATGCCCGGCTATTTTTTATTTTGTTGTTGTTGTTATCATTGTTGTTTAGCAGGCCCAGGCTGGGTTCAAACCCACCAGCCCTGGTGCATGTGGCCGGCACCCTGACCACTGAGCTATGGGCGCTGAGCCATCAATAAGAATTTGAAAGAGAAATTCACTTTCTGAAGAAGAGTAGAATGATCTATTTTCCAATAGTTATATAATTATTTTCCATACAGAGCCACATCCATAGTACAAACATATGATTATTTAAAGACATGAAAACAGATGAACAATTTTTGAAATTTCATCTTACTCCAGTCCCCAGTAACCTTAAACACAATAGGCTAGCCAATCTATGTAAGTGTCTACTCTTTATTTTTTAAAAGGTAAACAGGTTTAAACATTTTTTTACACTATGCTTATGGTTTTCCCCCACCATCAGCTTTGTTGAAGTACTTTTCACATACACAGAATGTCAAGTTCAATGAGTTTAAATGTATAGTCTAGTAATCACCACTACAATCAAGATACAACATTTCCCCCACCTTAAAATACTGTTTTGTTTCTTTTCACAACCCATTACACATCCCCAGCCCCTGGGAACCACTATCTGCTTTCTGTCATTACAGATTTCACTTTTCTAGACTTTTTACAATGTAGTATTTAAGAAAAACTGTTTGTCCTCTCCTCTCACAGAAATGTAGAAATCATCAACAGGGAAGACTTCTATGAGCAAATGTGTGTGGGTTTTTCCCCCCCACACCAAGCAGTAATTGAATTCAATTGCATTCTAAGGCTACCTTCCTGGAGATGGCATCACGTCTCACCAGAACACCCCCTAACTTCAGGCACCAGTCATAAGTCTGTCCCCCTAGAACTTCTGACCAACCAGTTTGGGGTGGACCAACCAAATTAGGGTTCCTACAACACACTTTGGGTGCAATTAATTTGCTAGAGTCAGTCACACAACTTAGGAAAACTTACATTTAAAAGTTTATTATAAAAGACATTATGAAGGATACAGATGAAGAGATATGTAGAGCAAGGCACAGGAGAAAAGGCACAGAGCTTCCATGCCCTCCCCAGGCCGCAGCCCTAAGGAGCATGTGCAGCTATCTGGAAGCTCTCCAAACCCTGTCCTCTTGGGCCTCTTATGGAGATTTCACTGGATAGGCATAACTGACTGTGGAGAAATGCAAATGAACAAAGAGGATATGATCTAAACCCAGCAAGCCTGTCTGCTCCCTTTCTTGGCCTCTGGACAGCATTCCTTCCTCTAGTATATGGGGCAAGACCTTCTCTGGAATGAGGGTCTTATGACCCACGATCAGATTAGAGGCCTGAGATTCTGTTTCCTGAGGCCTGCTTCTGAGGTCTAAAGTGCCCCAACATTACACATGTATATAAGACTAGGGGTATGGGAGTTATGAGCCAGGAACTGTGGACAAAAACCCAATGTGTGTGTGTGTGTGTCAACTGTGTAACATCACATACAGTCATACTCTTTTACAGTGAGTACTCTTTTATGTCTGGCGTCTTTCACTTGGCATAATGCTTCTGATGTTCATCTGTGTCGCATTTAGCCATATTTGCTCATTTTCATTGCTGAGTTGTGTTTTAATATATGCATACACGATAAATTATTTATCCATTCACTTGCTGCGGGCCGCTTGGGTTGTTTCTTATTTTCAGCTATCAAGTAAAGCTGCTCTAAAAATTGAGTACAAAACTTGTATTTCTCCTGAGTAAAACACCTAGGACTGAGGAACTACAGTGTTAGTACAGTTAACCCTTGAACAGCATGGGTTTGAACTATAAGGGTCCACTCGTACATGGATTTTCTACAATCTCTGCCACCCCTGAAACAGCAAGACCAACCCCTCCTCCTCCTCCTCCTCCTCAGCCTAGTCAGAGTGAAGGTGAGGATGAAGACCTTTACGCTCATCAGCTTCACCTTAACAATATAGTTTCTCTTCCTTATGATTTTCTTAACATTTCATTTTCTCTATCTTACGTTATTGTAAGAATATAGCATACAACATATATACAAAATACGTGTTAATCAACTATGCTATCAGTAAGGCTTCCAGTCAACAGCAGACTATTAGTAGCTAAGTTTTGGGGGAGTCAAAAGTTATACATGGACTTTCAACTGTGCAGGCAGTTAGTGTCTCATGTCTCTAGTCCCCCATGCTGTTTCAGGGTCAACTGTACTAAGAAATATTTGTGTTTTCATGTATCAAGCATCCTGACAAAATGAAAAATACAAATATTTCTTAGATTTATTTCATAATAAAATTTATTGGCAGATCTGTTATAAGACAGTTGAAGAATTCATACATTTTTCAGCCTTTAAAAGAGCCTCACACAACCACATACATTCAACATATTCCAGGATAATGTTTAATGTGTATGATACTATTCCCTACACACTTCAATATATTATGAGTCAAATAAAATAACACAGTCATATTATTATATGAACAAAGAAGTCAAACATTAAGAATCCTATTGTGATTTTCTCCTAAGAACAAAGAACTGTAAAATCTCTAATTCAAAAGAACAATTTTACATAGTCCACTTCACTAAGAAATAACATGTATAAAATGCCTACATGCTTCTAATTTGCTTTAATTAAACAAGAAAATTATTTTGCTTCTCATTTTCCAAATGAGAAAGATTTCCTAAATTCGCAATATTCCTAAGATTGTTCTTAGTCTAAAATTCCATGCAGAAATGTCCGGAATTGGAGACTTTAAATATAGAACCCAGAGATACCTACTTATAAGCTTTCCCATTAAAAGGTGAAGAGAATCCCAACGTTAACCAATCATGATTCCACAAACATCAAAATTACCACGTAGATATCCCTTATTTAAGTAACAGTAATGTTACTTCAGAGTAAATACCTACAGGTAATCACTGAATTATAACACATGTAAACTTTAAGAAAATTTCAAGTGCTCCTAAATACCTACCATTATAAAAATGAATTTCACTTTACAATATTATGTTCTCTAGAGAAAGCTATATAAAGATTATATGAAAGATACTTCAGCAATAAAAAAAGTAAACTTTCACTTTCCAGTTGTGTTACAAAATTACTAAGAAGTCTTGACTTGAATGAAACATTGCCATGACTGACTTTTGTGGTAGAAACTCAAACTTTAAAAAATACATGGAACAAAAATAAGATGAAGAGTTTCCTGGTACATATAATGCTATTTATATTCCCTTATTTCAGTACTTGGAAACTCAATGTCATATTCTGTAAACTGATAATCATATAATATAATTATGAAAAGTATAAACGACCTTTGTATAAGTCAGTGTTGACAATCTGCCACCCCACTGCTCATCATCACCGACAACATGCAAACATTTTACCATCTGACCAAGAGGTAGGATCCAGAGAAGAGAAGACGGCACTGCCAAGGCACAGGTAACTAACTGCCACTCGGTGGCAACAGTCTGGCCAATGGAATGGGGGGCACATACCCTGTGTCCTCCAAACCCCAGTATGACTGCTGTGCCTGCATCAGTGCACCCAGTCCCTTGGGTGGCGCAGAACTTCCAGAATTTCAGCTTCTTTAGAATTCTCTGAGGGTGAATGCATGTACTCCCATCTATATATGTCCAAAATAGAAACAAAATGTGTAATAGTAAAAAATGACACATGTAACTCTTTACTTAAAGAAACGCTAAAATCCTATGGTTTAAAAAAAAAATAAAATGCCTTTGTCTCCACTGTGATTTAGGCGCCTTGTGTCTACTAGACCTCTAAAAAATATTTGCGGCTCAAGAAATTCAGTTTCTTGTTGATTCCTGGGTATAATTATTAATTCTCATTAATTCTTGGGCCATTAATTAATATCCCAAAGCCAAAATATACTTTTAAGATAAACCAGAGTTTCATAAAGTACAGAACCTCAGATGACCCAAGGGCAAATTTTCCTCATTTGTTTAGCTTAGTACTTGTGCATATCTCTTCCCAGAAAAACAAACAGGCAGAGCCCCCAACCCCTTAAATACTGTGACCCAGCTTATCTTCTCTCCCCTCTCTCTTCTATCTGCCCTCACACAGAGAGCTGTCATTCATCCTGTCACCCCTTAAAAAATACAATATGATTGTCCATTAGTTTCTTATAAAATCAGCAAAGTCAAAACCAACAAAGCCTTATGTCAGACACCTGCCATGTTAACACTGATGTTTTGTGGAGGTTTGGGAATTGGGGAGGTGGGAGGACAACCACCGTGATGAGTTATCTCCTTACCGGGCAGTTAGAGGTAAAGACATCAAGATGCTTTCGATCCTGGATCCTGGGGTGAAGAGGCCAAACTTTGTGCCCCGATCATACAGCAGATTAAATTCTACGTACCTGACATAAAGACATTAAATAACATTAAGGGTCAGCTGAGTAAGATTTTTCTAAAGACTAGTCCATAACAAATATTTAAAGGGAGGCTGTCCTCCTCCAACCCCCACTAGCTGGAAGTGGCACAAAGAACACCAGCGTACAACCCACTGAGGTTCCTCCATCTGGACAGGCAGAAATAAAAGGGTATTCTACCCACCAAACAATAGCGTACAGATTCTGCCTCAACAGAGCAGTTTCAAAACAAGAAGGTTGTGTTTTCCCATAAACAAACAGCATGGACACAAAGCTGAGAATGTCAAGGCACAAAAACAATTAAGAAAAAGAAATGGCATCCTTTCTCAGGATAAGCCCTCCTCCTAGTGTGAGCTGTTTCAAAGGCGAGTGTCTCATTTCACTGTCTCTAACTCACAAATACTACCACTAAGACGATGCAAAACTTCTGTAACTGAAAGATCTACTACAGCTAACAGCAATCCATTAAGAATGACTAAGATATTCTAGACATTTCTTAAAGTAGTTAATAGCATGAATAAGCAGTCGTATAATTCAGTCCTCCAGCAGATAAACAGTATTCATAATAAAATGCAGAGTTTTCAGTTACTGTGCTCAGTTTTATTTGTTAAGAAGAACATCCTTAGCAACAATTAAAACTTGGCTCAGGATATTTTAATAGGTCTCTTTTAACTGCCAGAATCATATATGGACCCCATCCAGCTTAAACTTCTATGTCTACTTTTAACATTGTGGAATGTAACAGGGTCTCTTCTCTCTAAATTCAAAGGGATAATTTCTACTACTTAAAAGAATTTCGAATCTAGAATATTAAATTTGAAAATTTTAATACGAAGCTCCCTTTCAGATCTTTTCTCAACTCATTTAGAAACTACTCTCTTGGCCTAAAGTTCTCTCAGATAATCTTGTTTATCTTACTGCTTAGGGTCCTTAAGCCCACCTACGGCAAATTATCCTCTAGAATTCCACCATACTTCCATTTTAAAAAATCACTTTCTTGTGTGAAAACCTGTGAAAAGCCCAAAGCCCTGCAAAAATTTAAATCACTGTATCCACGGATCCTTCTCTAGTTCTCACCATTTATTTATCATTGGTTGACTTTTATTTACTAATATCTATTTAATACCTTCTTGTACCTGATTCAAACGATAGTACAACTGACTATTCTGAACTTTTTTCCTAAGACCACAAAGAAGAATTTCACCTCTCAGCCACTTTTTTCACCTACTATTATCTTTCTGACATGATCTGTAAGGGATGGCTACGATTCCCTAGTTTGTACTGATGTATTTGAAGACCTACTTCAAATCCCCTTGTAATGAGCTCCCTAAGAATTTTCTGGAGGATTGCTGTGCTCCTTTCCACACTTTTCTACATGAGCCTCCCTGCCTCCCACCAGGTGTCCCTTAGATCTGGTCTTTCTGATCCTTTCTACATATTTATCTTCTTTAACACGGCTATAAATTACGATCTTCAACCAATCCTTTCAGCTTGTCTAAGGCCTAAATTTTATCATGTTGCTCCTTCCCAAAACACAATAAACCAAAACAAGTTAATGAAGTTTGAGGCTGGGGGCAGTGGCTGACACCTATAATCTCAACACTCTGGGAGGCTGAGGGGGGTGTACTGCATGAGCTCACAAGTTCAAGACCAGCCTGAGCCAGAGTGAGACCCTGTCTCTAAAAAACAGCTGGGCATTATGGCAGGCGCCTGTAGTCCCAGCCAGTTGGGAGGCTGAGGCAAGAGAATCACGTGAGCCCAGGAGTTGGAGGTTGCTGTGAGCCATGACACCAGAGCACTCTATTGGGGGCAATGAAGTGAGACTCTATCTCAAAAAAAAAAAAAAAAAAAAAAGACTTAAGTTTGAGATGGGATGAGAGAACAGTACCTAGGAGCAAGAGACTAGATGAGGTTGCAAATAAGACACTATAACGTCAAAAGAGAACCAGACTGACTAGTGGACAGTAGACTCATGATTGGAGGGGGTGGGGCAGGGGTAAGTAGAAAAGACAACCATAAAAAAAAAAATAAAACAACTGGTTATGACTGCAGTATACAAAGCTGAAGACAGTGCTGATAACCTCCGGGAAGAGCTGGAGTTATCCTAAGCCCCAGAGTTTGCTGTCATGTTACAGCCCAGAGATAAGGGAGGCAGAAGGAGGCTATCGCTTAAGAATAGTCACATACCATATCATAGAAAATTAATCCAACAGTCCATACTCCTGCCTAACTCGTGACACCAGGCAGGCAGTGAAACACACACATTGGAACTTTCAGAAAGACTTTGCCATCAAATGATGTTAAAAAAAAATTATTCCAATGTCTAAGTTTAAAAGGCTTCACCTAATTAGTATTCACAAAAGCTGCCAGCTTGGCATATAAAATCTTGTGCAAAACTATGACATTTTACTTCCCATAGAGTTTTAAATTGTTCCTTTAGCTAGGACTCCCCCACTAAACTGCAAGAGCCTCTTTTCAGCAAGTCCGTATTATAGCCACCTTGAAAGCCAGGATAGTGCCTGGCTATGGGGGCCCATGACAAATGTCAAGTAAAAGAAGGAAACGTTGGTAAAGATATTTTGAGAAATTATATGGAAACAAATAAACAAAACGTTCCCAAACAGATGCATTGTCTAAAAAATTCTAAAAAGGAAAAAAAAAAAATTCTAAAAAAGAAAACTGAACTCATCTTTCCAAGTTAATGAATGGGGACCAGATGGCTCAGGCAGTCATAAGAAATAGGAACCACCAACATTTATCTCTAGACTTGGAACACTATTTAAGTTGACCTCTCAGGGCAAAAGCTCTATCTCCTTAGTACCCAAAGCTTCCAACACCCAAGAAAGAATTAGTGCAAATGAGAAAATCCATTTTACATACAGGGAGCAGTAGTACCCAGAAAATTAATGCAATGAGAAACTGACATGGGCTAGCAGGCTGAATAATTTGATTATTCAAATTCACAAGTACACCCTGGCTGAAGATGACCTCAGATTGCTCCCCTAGCCCCACATCGGACTCACCAACCTCAGTGCACAGAGCAGGATGGCTGAGGTGAGTACAGCGGTAAAAAGCACAAGTCTGCTTCAACTACTGTCCACATGTGAAGTTTTCTGCTTAGCAGTTACATAATTGTGGGTAAGGGACTTCCAAAACAAGGGCAAGTTTTAACATGTATATGATAATGATTACACCTATCCTGCAGGTTTGTTGAGAAAATCAGATGCAAAATGTCTAACATAGTGGCTGGCACATAGTAACAGCTCCAAAATCAGTAAAATTTATCATTAAGTGTAAGTAATTTTGGTAACTGTTATTTCTATGAAATAACTTCCACGAAATCTTTAAGATAAATGAAAAGAGGTATGATCCAAAATTTCAAAGCAGTAAAAACATTATTTGATGCCCATATCTTGCTATAAAGGTGGAAGGCATTGCTATAAAACGAACTAAAAGAAATCAGCAGGATTAAATTCAGCAAGTACTTACTACATGCCTAAGTCTCTAATGCACAGCTAAATTAAATAAACTTTGCTATTCTTATAATGACATTTTACAAAATATCCTTTAATTCATTTAATATCCACCCAGTTATGAAAATAAACATAACTACCACAAAGCCTCCGCCTAAGACAACACAATACCCACAATTATTACGGCTGCTCTACTTCCCCCAGTTACGCCACGAATCAGTTCTTTCCCTTGCCACTCACCGTCCTCTTCTGAGCTGCTGCCACAGCTTCTCCTGGGGGGTGAATGCGTCATCACAGTGCTTTTTCACCAGGGGAATGTAAGAAGGAACTATAGCCTGGGCACAGCTCTGCACAAAGCAAAACACGTCCTCCTTGGAGGGAGAGTCCAGGTCATCAAAAAAGATACCACCAATGCCCCTACGCTCTCCACGATGGGCTATAAGGAAGTAATCATCACACCTGGAAAAGGCAGTGGGGCCAAGGGATAAAGGGGGGTGGGGAGAGACAAGCAAATCAATGTGAAACTTTCAGGTCACTTTCCTCAACTAATGGCAGCTATGAAAATGAAACTAGGACTTTAGATAAATTTTCTGCAGCTATAACATGTAGAAAATGCCTGTATTCTTATCTGCAAAGCAACCAGGCTATTTAACATAGATTTATCTAAAGGATGTGAAACTCTAAGAACTTCAGAGAAAAGAAAAGTAGAATCCAATATTCATGCTGCATTCTTGAAAAAAGTGATACTGCTGCCCTGAGAAGCAGGAGAACAGGAATCTTCCAAACCAACAGCATCACACAGGGTGCAAACCCAAGCTCTCTTAGTTTTTTATTTGCCAAAAGAAGGTACTTTAAACAATCTCTAAGGTCTCTTTTAGCAATAAAATTTGATGACTCTATAGCATGCATGACTGAGAGAAGGGCCGGTGGAAGTGGACGTTCAGAAGAGTAAGAGTCTTCAAACATATTAAAGCCTACCCTTGTGAGGCAGCACATGAAACTATCAATCTGTTCTGGAGTCTCTTCCCCACCACGTCTATTAGAATAGGTTTCCTAAGAATGCATTTCCTAAATGCTAACTTTGAAGAATAGTTTACATCTTGGAAATAGTTCTTTTGATGATCTCTGTACAATAAGAATTCCTAAATAGAAAAACTAAAAGGTATTTAAAAAGTCACCTTAAACCTTTGAAATAAAGCTTTGAGAGCCAAAAAAAAGGTATTTAAAAAGTTACCTTAAACCTTTGAAATGAAGCTTTGAGAGCCAAAAAAAAACAAAACAAAACAAAAAAACGGCAGGAGTTACAAATCCCTAGAGCTAATGCATTGGTATAACTCAACTCAATTGTGACTTGTTGGCTCTCCTTTATTCGCACATTTTATTAACATAATTTAAAAAGTATATCCTGAGCAAGGGTGTAAAGTCAGCTTTTCATACAAATCATATTATTTCAAAATCTCTCTTTGCACAATTACAATGTTAAGATATTTACTAAGCACTCACATTAAAAACTGCTTTTTCACTAATCTGTATCCTATTTTATTAATACTGTTTAGATAAAGTCATCTCAGTAACAACTATCAGAAGAAACCCCCAAAAAAGCCTGTCTACCCCAGCATCCTCCTAGAAGAATGATGAGTTCTGGGAGAGAAAAGAAAACCTGTACCTCCATGGCTGTGCAGTTTTCACAGATAATACTAAATCAAGAAAAGAATATTCAAATGTTTTATCTTTTCTGTGGATTTTAAAGCTGAACTCCATGTTCTTGCATAAATGATATTAACATCCCAAAATTACTGGCTCTAAAATAAAACAAAAAGATAAAATTCCCTTCTGTTCTTCCTTTTTCAAGAATGCTAATTAACTCTGAGCAGAATTCAGTTCTTACTCAGAACTCTAAGCAGAACTCAGTCCTTACTCTTACTCCAAACACTTCATGCTGAGACTCCACTGGACATCTAACAAATACTCCGAGTCTCTTACAGCTTTGTTTTTCTATTCTTTATCATTAGAGTTTCTTTAACAACCTTTCCAATTCCATTCTTCTCCTTGTCCAGTGTCCCTGGGTACATGCTGTCTCTAGTGGTTCTCCAGCCTTTCCTGTGCCCTCACACATTCCCAAGTCAACATCAGGACAGTAATTCTCATCTATGTGAGAATTTAACATCATACTCTAGGATTAAAAATCCTGATTCTCAGACACAGACCATCTGATGATTCATACATATTCTACCATTCTAAATCATTTGGGTCAAAAAAAAGATGCTACTACTCAAAACATATTACAGAAATCCAAGTATTCCTAAGTGAATAATTTATTAAAACTACTTAAAACTGGTATTCCACTTCTTCCGGTGAGCAAAGTAAGAAAACAACTCAATCTTTATAAAGATTGAAATACCTGAAGAAGATATTTAGTGACGCAATAGTTACCTTTGAGACATACAGAAGGAATGGAATATAACTTGTAGTCATGAAAAGTTTAATACCTTTACCTACCATTTTTTAAATTTGGGATAGAGATCTGGACCATGCTGGTCACAAGCCTCCTTTAGAGTTCTGTGAAAATGGACAGCGTCCTCTTGGTTCAAGTACGTTGGAGTGAGGTCACATCCACCACCAAACCACCACTGCTTGTTACCTACCAAGTCAAGACATGGGATTCTGATGCCGACTTTGAGATTCAGCATACTGCTGATTACATAAGCTAACTTAAGACAGAAGCTTAATTTATTAAGCATATAATTAATGGGTAACAATCAAAAACATTTAACTGTTGAATACATCAGTGAAGACCAGTAAGGTCAAGGCGGAAAAGAAGACACAAAAGCAGAAAGAGAAGAAAGTAGGAAATTAAAAAGTAAGAGAGTAGAACCAGCCAAGGAAATAATACTTAGGCCAGTAAATGGTAAAACATTACATGTGTGGATCAGAGAATGGATCGCAATTCTGGTTGTATATTAGAATCACATGAAGAGCTTAAACATACCTCTACTAAATCACAGTTTAAAAAAAGAAAACACATCTCTGGCTCAGGCACATATAGTTTATAAAATCCTCCCAGAATATTCTCACACACCCTATATTAAGAACTACTGCCACCCTTACTCTTTCTCTTAGAAAATGTAAAAAAAAAAGAAAAAAAAATAGCTGAGAGAAGCAACTTATCATTTGAAAATAACTACTGTATATACATATATCACATTAAAAGGATGAACCAAAGTAAATAGCTTCAAAATGAAGAGTTAAAGCAGTGACTTTAAACGCCCTCACCTGCAGACATCTAGAGGCGTGAGCGTGGCACTGCACACTTTCTTTTCTTTCTAGATGGCTTTGCTGATGGGCAACATAGGCTGGAACTATGTGCACATGAGTCCTGATCAACTTCATTCCATTTTAAACCCACTGCCAATGAGCTGGTGACTAACAGAACTATGGGTGTGTTAAATATTTACCAAAACCAAGTTCTCAAATTCAACTTCATCTTATACATAAGGTCTACCTTCAGACATAATGAATCTAAATCTGCAAAGAACCCTGAAAGTCAGGTCCACAAAATCATTCCTTCTGTGCTGGAGGAAATATGGGAAGGTCAGAGTCAACACCATTCTCACTCTTCATGTCTAGTGTATAATCCGTAATACCTGCTCAAGAATAAGCCTTCGTATGTCTCCTGAAAAACTAGGTAAGACTAGTTATTCTTTCTCACTTTTATATGTTATTCCCTCTTATCTGTTATACAATACACATTTTTCCCAATAATACTTTGCATAGCTCCTGAGACCCTTACCATCTGCTTCTTCTACTTCAAAGTATCTGTAGTTGAAATGGACAGTAGGAGCATGAGGATTCTTGGGGTGGATAACAGAGCTCACGCCCATGGCATAAAACGGCAATTTACCTGCAAAGTAAAATACAGAGTGAGTTGCACTCAAGAACTTGGCTTAATACCAATTAACTCTAATGTGATTTCTGAATGGATTTTCAAAAGCTGCTTTTCAATTTCTCTCTTAAAATACAATTTTTTAAAAAGTACGTGTGAACACACTTTTCTGGTATATGCATATGAAATGGCCTTTTCCAGAAGCAATATTTATTTTATAAATAAAACTTGTGGGGAAAATAAAATTTCCTGGGACCATTAAAGGCTGTCAACATCGTGCAATTTACCATCTTTAGTCTTCAGAATTTTTCCTCGGCTTCTCATTTGTTTTGCTGCTTCCTCAGAAAGATTTCCATGAACGACAGAAATGCTCACCCCAGCCTTTTCAAAAACACGTCCATCTTGAAGTACACAGCTGATGCCACCACCTCCTGTTTATAGAAGTGCAAAATAAGGAGAATAGTTACACAGGAATGTAAGAGTAAATGCAAAATTTAAAAAAAAAAAAACACTTTTATTAAGTGCTTATTTTCTGCCTCTATTTCCCAAATCTTCTGTAATAGTTGTATGTTTGTAATGTTTATGTACAATAAAATTAGGTAATTAGTTTAGCTTTATGACATAATTTACCGTAACTGGGCAAAGAATGAACCTTGTCATATCACTAAGCTGAAGATTTCTTCCACATTCTTATGTCATTATCTAAAGTAAACCACTAGAAAAAACTTTAAGAACTATCATATGACCCAGAAATGTCACTGCTGGGTTTATCCAAAGGAAGAGAAATCAGAATATCAACAAGATATCTGCACCCCCATGTTCACTGCAGCACTGTTCACCATCGCCAAGATAGGGAATCAATCTACGTGTTCATCAACACCTAAGTTGATAAAGAACTTGTGGCACATATATACAAAGGGACTATTACATAGCCACAAAATGAATGAAATCCTGCCATTGGCAACAACATGGGTGGAACTGGAGAACATCATGTTTAGTGAAATAAGCCAAGCACAGAGAAATAAATCTCACATATTCTCACTTATATGTGGAAGCTAAATATTGAAAACGGTTGATATCATGCAGACAGAAGGGTGGTCACCAGGGAAAGAAAAGGAGAGTGGGGAAGGGGTGATAAAGTGGGAATGGTTAATGGGTGCAAAAATATAACTAGATAGAATGAACAATATTTAACAGCACAACAAAGCAACTGTAATCAACAATAAGTTAGGGAATACTTTCAAAAACTACAAGAATATAATTAGAATGTTCCTAAGAAAAAGAAATGATAAATGCCTGAGGTGATGGCTATCTCAATTACCCTCATTTGATTAATCTACATTGTATGCCTGTATCAAAACATCACGTGTCCCCTAAAAAGATACACAACTGTTATCTACCCATAATTTAAAATAAAAACAACTTTTAAGGTAAAAAACAAAATAAATTACTGGAATATTCTCCCTTCAAATATCACTGTTAAGAATGGCATCCATCAATTACAACAAGAGAAAGCTAAAGTTTCAAGGAATGGGTATATTTGAACAGTGTTCTATTATTACTGAATTTAAAAGCTCCAACTAGGCCAGGCGCAGTGACTCATGCTTATAATCCTAGCCCTCTAGGAGGCTGAAGTGGGTGGACTGTCTGAGCTAACAGGTTCAAGACCAGCCTGAGCCAGAGCAAGACTCATCTCTAAAAATAGCCAGGAATTGTAGCAGGGGCCTGAAGACCCAGCTCCTAGGGAGTCTGAGGCAAGAGCATCACTTGAGTCCAACAGTTTGAGGATGCTGTGAGCTATAACACCATGGCACTCTACCAAGAGTGACAAAGTAAGACTCGGCCTCAAAAAAAAGAAAAAGCAATTTATTTCAAAAAAAATTTTCAAGGTGTGCTGCTTGCCTTTTAATTTTACTTACAGGCAATTAAAAAAGAGTGGGTACTCAAACTCTTCAGGGATTCAGTACCTTAAACTTGAAAGTGAGACATGCATCAATATTTATATGAGTCTTACTAGTTTCTGTTTTCATTTTTAAAGACACTAGGGTCACTGCAAGGACATGGTTTCATGAAGGTTCATGTTTGGCTTATTTTATTTTTAGTTACTTTTATAGCTAGATAGGACACAAAGTGATCTGGGATAGCCCTTGTATATTCCAAACGAGAAAACTGACCTAAGTCCAGAAAGGCAAAACACCTTATCAGGGATCACACAGCTGGCTAATGGCTGAAACAATATGTCCAATGCTGTCTGTTGCAGACAACATTCTTAGCACTTTACATACTCATCTCACTTAATCTTCAAACTACATATATATATACATATATATGTACACACACACATATATATATTATTTTTCATCTCATAGATTAAAAATGAGACAACAAAAAAGTTACTTTCAAAGGTCAAACAAGCAGTCTAGTCCTGAAAGTTGTGTCCTAGTTCATCAATCTTCACTTGAAAACGATGCAAAATGGAAAACACTATGAAAATCAGATTGAACTTCATTTAATATAGACGTGGCACCACAGCTCAGAATCTGCTAGGGGAGAAATTGCTGTTTTATTCCTACCTAGGAGTAGTCAGGAATCTTTCATGTTTATGATCAAGATATGAGGCTTCACTATGGAGACAACATGGTCATGAATATGACTCTACAAGAACTCGGTTTTGATACTGAAGTATTTTGGCATTGAAAGAAAAGATTTTCTAGCAGGAAATCTAATGGGTGCATTTGGTAGAGCTACTGATAAACCAAATACTTTTCATGCAACAGAAGAAAAGAAGTGGGGAGATTGGGATACAATGAGACCCTCAGCTGGAGAGGAGGCCTCTGGCCGACACTTAGTAGCAGAAATTGAGTTCCTTTTTTTATCTCCCAAGGAGGAAAAAGGGCAAATGCACCCAGAGAAGCATATGAAATCTGTTTAATAATCCACTGAAATCTGTGTTTCGTAATAAACTTTGGACATCCAAGTTTGTTGGTTGCAAATACCCTTTAAGATCTCTACGAAAAATGCCATTATGGAATTCCAAGGACTGCGCGAGGCCCAGTACTAGAGTGTCAACAAATCTGGGTCCACATCTGCAAGCAGAGGGCTAAGGACTCTTTCTCAGTATCAATCTTGTTGATGTTGTCCCCTTTGTGGGTTCCCCTTACCTGCCCCTATTCCACATTGTGAGCTATGTTCTGCCCAACATTCCCCCCTTATCTCCATCTCCCTCAACGGACCGACCTCCTTACCTTCCTTCCTCTCCCACCGGTCCACAGTGAAGGTGGCCTCCCCATCTACCTGTGCCAGCGCCTGGCACACCTGGGCCTGAGTCTCCAGAATCAGGAGCTCCATCCTAGTCTTCATGTCACCCGGCCTCCTTCGCAGCTCGCCCAGATCAGTCACTGGCGCTGCCATGAAGAAGCTGCAGCGGCGGGCCAGCTCGTCCTCCTCCTCGGGTTTCCCCTGCGAAAGACTCCGAGTTCCGGAGCTCTTGGCCACCATCTCCGCCCGCTGCATGTGCCCGAAAGTGGCGGCGGCCAGCCCGGCCAACCCAGCCAGTGCTGCGGCCAGCCCGGTGCCCAGCCAGTAGCCGCCTCTCGCCCTCTGCTCGGTGCCAGCCGTGCCAGGCGGCCGGCAGATGTGCCTGGCCGCGCAGCGCTGGGACCAAGCACGCTGCCCTCCGCAGCCGCCCCACGCCGCGCGCCAGCACGGGCCTGCGCTCAGCCTGCCCAGGTGTAAAGCCATGCTCCCGGCTCCCGCGCTGTCAAGCTGGGCAGCGCCCTGCCTCTGATGCCCCTGGCGGCCTCCGGCGCCCCGCAGCCGCACCTGCAGGAAGAACCTTCGTCGCAGAGGCGCAGCTGCCGAGACCGCCCGGGGGCGCGCGGGGCATGCTGGGAGCCGTAGTCCCGCTCCTATCGCCGCCCGCAGCGGCCGCGCGCTGGGCGGGAGACGAGAAGCCGCCGGGCCCAGGAGGGCGGGCCCGATGGCGGGCAGGCTGGGCCAGGAGCTGGCCAGAGGGCGTTGGGTGCAAAGGCAGAGATAAGAGACGCTTTCTTGTCACGTACAACCCAGGGTCTGCGGTTGGCTCAGCCAAGGGAAAAGACAAAGGACGTGTGGGAGGCTGAGGACGGACCGGGGCAGAAACAGCGGCACAGATCCTCCTAGCACTTTCAGTTTATAGAAAGCAGATTTGGCTCGGCATCTAGGGACCGCCTTGCCGGGGTCCGGTCCGCGAGAGCAGTGGAGGGAGAGCCTAGCTATCTCCTTGCCTAAGGGTGAATTTCTAAAGGAAATAGGGGAAAGCGGGTAAAAAGTCTCTCTAAACAATCTTGGAAGAGACTTTCTGGGATCTAGTGCACATCACAGCTCTCTGTACCTAAGGTCTTGCCAGGCTTTGCTTCTGCAGTGCTTACTTGATTATTTTAGCAACAGGGAAAGTGAAGCTTTTGCATTTAACCAGCTTAAAATTCTGGCCTGGTGTATTTTGGCGATTAAGAAATAATAAATTTAAAAAATATTTATGCTGCTATTTTAGAGTCCTGCCTAATATTTATCTCATTTAATACCTCTAATAACTGCCGTAAACTAGGCAAGGCCAACATCCACACTCCCTCCTTCCACTCTTTCCCCACCCCACCTCACTTTACCCCCTATACGTTAAAGAATTGAAGAAAAAAGTTAATAGAGTTGATCTGCAGGTTTTTTTCTGTAACCATACCTAGCTCCATAGTTCCTGGACATAAAACTGTAAGAACTATTATCATGGGCTAATTTGTCCTGTAAGCCTTTAGGTGGTGATTTTAATTTCTAGCAGTAGATAATATTTTAAGCCACTAGTGGCTGTTCCCACAAATTTATTCTTGTGGCTAGAAGCACTGATGGATGTCAATGGCTATGGGTCATACCATTTGTTAAAACCAATGTATCCCATCCGTCTACAACTTCATCTGACCATTGTCACACTGAGACACAGTGTTGGCTGGATGGATATCCTTGCCCAAGCCTAGAATTTGAGAGTCAATGGAAGGCAATGGCCTAGATTGAGAAATGAGTAAAGGACATTTAGGGAAGAAAAATCTTTAGCTGTTAGCCACAATGTAACCTACCAGGAAGCCAAGTAAGAAGAGGAGAAAAGGAAGTAAGAATTATCATTCTAGGAAAGGCTATTTGCCCCCTCTGGATACCTGTGATGGGATTGGGCTAGGCCTGCTGACAATAAGTCAGTGTCATTAATGAAAATGAACTTCTCTGCCCCATTTAGAAACCTTTTCATGATTGTTCTGATTTTGCAAATTCCCATAAAGTTAGTAAAAGTTAAGTAAGAACAGGCTGTTTTGAACCTTTGCCCAGTCACAAAAGATGGTCCTGAGAAAATTACATACTAGTTTCTGAGTTACATCCCTCCCTCCTTAAGCTCTGTATCCAAAACACCTCTTTCCTTTTCTTCTTTGGTTTCCAGCAACTTCTCTACAGTTAACCTTCTATGCAGTGCTTGAGAAAGGCCTGTATAGACATTTTGGCTCAAGCCTATAATCCAGAGAGGCAGAGATAAGAGGCTTGCGTGAGCCCAGCAGCTCAGGGCCGCAGTGATCTATGATTGCACTAGTGCATTCCAGCCTGGGTGACAAAACAAGACTCCTCAGAAAGGCCTTAATAGTTTTGTTAGTGTGAGTTTGAATCACCTTTCTGAGGGTTCAAATTGTCCTCAAGAAGAATATTTGTATTTAAGACTTAGTTGTCAGTGTGGAGGAAAAAACATTCTAAGGTGTTTCATACATCAGAAACCTAGTTGGGCCAAATAAAAAGTTTATAATAACTTATAAAGCCTAGGTGTAAGTTAGGGGTTCTCATCTTTTTTTTTTTTTTTTAAGAGACAGAGTCTCTCACTTTATCACCCTCAGTAGAGTGCCATGGCTCTCATCTATTTGTGAGCTCAGTTTCTTGCATTGCTTTGTAACTTTCCTTTTCCTTTTTATATGGCCCTGCCAGCCAAAAAGATTCTGATTAGCCTTATATAGACTTACTAGGCATAGGTATATAAATATCATTTTTCAAACTCCAAATGCTTCTCAGAATCCTTACGAACTTTGTCTTTCTTCTGTCCCCTAAAGTGCTATTGAACATAATTTATTTTAGGCCTACTCGACTCATAGTACATTAGTTTTCCCGTTTCTAGGAAGAATTTGTGGAAGCTGCAACTAATCCCTTGTAGTTTTTTTTTACCTTGTAGCCACACACATACACGCACACATATGCATACCTTAGAATTCCCAGTAACTTTACTACCTTATGTTATTTTTATCAATCTTCAAATTTTAAGAGCCAAATTTAAGAAATATCTTAGCAAATTGACTCAGTTCTGTTACTTTCAGTTAGTTACAGAAATTCAGGCTAATTGTTAACAAAGTATTGCTAAAAATACATGTTTGCCTGGGCAAGCTTCTGCCTAGATCATCAGGAAGTCCGGTGGGGGGTGATGGAAGTAGTGATAAGACTAGCAAAGAAGTGGATATATTTTAAGATGTTTACTCTATTTTTGTCCTAGAATTTATATTTTAAACTTTTAAATCTATAGAGGTAAAGGCTTTCATGTGAGATCATTACAATAATCGATTCTTAAAGTCTTTGTATACAGACTCAATAGCTAATGCAATTCAGTGTTATTGATTTGCTTTTTCTTTATCTGGAATAATTTTTAAATTAATTTTTCACAAAGGTATAGATATCACTCAAATATGCCAGGAAAGTTCTATAAAAGGGACAAACTCAGAGTCCTTGCTCTTTAGTTCCTTTAGCTTCTCCTTAGTTCTTCTCTCTGGTGATATGGATGTGATGTCTGGAATTGCAGCAGCTTTTTGTCAACAGGACTATCAAGGTCTCAGGAAAAGGTTTTCAGAGCAGTGTATAGAAAGCAGGATCCTGAAGACATCTTTAAGCAGATATACCAGCCCTGGGCTGCTTACCTTTCTACTTTTTGTTATATGAGAAAAAATAATTTTAGGTACCATTTATGAGGTTTTCTGTTACTTGAAGCTTAACTTTTTCTAGACTATATTCTATCTTAGTTCAAATTTCCATACTGGGACAAAAAATAATGGTCATAGATGAAAAGTGGGAACACGGAGACTTTCCTCTCTAAAAAGAAGAATAAATAAAATGGCCATAGATGAAAAAAAAGAAATGGGGACTTTCCACTGTAATTAATATTTGAGGTGAATGATGATTGGGGATGTGGGATTTCAATTCTAGAAAATGGGAACTGCAATGAGAAAACAATATTATAAATCTCAACTATAGGGAGAAATTTGTGAAGATGATTCCTGAGTTTTGAGGCTGAATGTCTTCAGTTAACAAAAATAGGGAATTTCAAAAGAAGAACTGGGGGGCACAAAGCAGGAAGAACAAGAAATAATCAGTTTGATATCAACAGCTATTAATAGAGTTATTTCCTCTGGTTTAGCTAGAGCTCTCCACCTGTTCCATTTGCCCAGGTACAGGAGCTTGCTGGCCACCCCAACCCTTCAGAATAAAATACTCTTAACCATCCATTCTGGGAGGCTTAAGAATGTCATGGGCCAAGAAAAAGATGAGTCATTTGAGAAGGCGTTGGGGACAAAGTGTTGGGGTATATACCTGGTGCTTGTAACCAGTGTTACTTACTCAAGAAATGCAAAACTACTTCCACTCAAGAGTTTAATCTCCTCTGGTAGACCAGAATACTGTCTTGGAATATACATATTTAAGATTTTTTTTACTTTAAACCCATATGAACATCATTTTAATTTTAGAGAGTCAAGAATCAGTTCCCTTTGTTCTCTGTATCTACGCAGAG